CTATATGTGAGGCTAGAGTTTGAATAAGCATCTTTCTTTGCTTGAATTTACAGCACAGAAAATATCTGTCATCGGCATAAATATCAGAAAATATCAGTCGTTTCATGCATCATCACAATGGAGGTTCTCTGTAGTCGGGAGCGGTCACATACTTCAGATTTATTCCTGCACATTTTGTGAAAAAGTCTTCGCATACAATCTCTAATAGAAGTCAGAGGAGGTCTCGTTTAAGTTACGATACAAGATATCCACCCATTATAGCAACAAAAGGCGATTAATATATTGAGAATTCCTCCGAGACCTTTAATGAGAAAGAGAAATCGACATATTTTACAGCGAGTCCCGCATGTCAAGGTTTGTTTTGAATGTCAGTCATTCCCTCCTCAGGGCAGAGTATTGTCTCTATGCCTGCGTGTCATTACCTTTTGTGTTTCCCTCTGACATTTGACACTGATGGACTGAAGCAGAAAACTCTGCTTAAAGCTAAATGAACACTCTTATAATAAAGTTTTATGGAGACGTGGCAGCTTCCTCATGACAATGTCACATCTCCGCAGACTCTCCAGCTGGGTTGTTTTGAAAGTTTACATGTTATCATTATCAGACACAAAACTCGAGTTACTCGCGATTTGAAACAACAGTAGCTTATATTACAGAATAGCGATTAATTGAGTTTGGGCACTATGCCAGCGGAAAGTTTGACTTACACGTGTTTACGAAAACAAGATGTTTCCTTAAAAAGCCACTTTTTATACTAGTGTTTTCATTATAAACAGGTATTTCGTTTGTAAATGGCTGTTTAATTGTTGCCATTTTATATTTTGTTTATAGTGAAATAAATGTTTTCGATATTCATACAGATTCTGCGCCATTTGTTTATTTCAGTTTATGTTTTAGAATTGTCCTGAAGTTTTATTGTGCTTGTTGAAGTTTAAATATTTCCCCATTGTGTCATTAATGTAATATTCCTCAATGTTGGCGATATTGTCTTTTTATAACAATCAATGAAGTAAACGAATGCAGTGCCATCAATCTACTGACAATATTTATAACATTTTGTCCTGTAATAAAACAGAAGCCACACAAGTGAACGTTCATTATTACGTCTTGATTTTTAATGTATGTGCATTGCTAAGCTTTTATTTGAAGCAATGTATGTGCATTGCTTTAATTATTACAATAGATTGATTAAAATAAGTGTGGCCGTCTATCTTAGGAGTAGAAAGACAATACATTTAAATTCAAGCGAAGTAATGCAAATCAAATTGCAACTACTTTAGAAATAAATGCTAAATTCAACTGATATTATAATGTTTTGTTTGTCTTGACTTTTTTTTCTTTTTATTAAAATGTAATAAATTAATATATAGGCCTAATATTAATCTGTGTACTAATCTTTAGACCTTTAACTTAAGTTACTTGGTTAGATTATAGCTCCAAGCACACTATAAAAAATATTAATCCAAAAAAAAGATCTGTACTGTGTGTTTGTGTGCTCTTATAAAAGTCATTGAATTTCTGACTCGTCCTGAAGTTTTGCCCAAGTACTCTTTTCAGCAATACTTTAATATAAAAATAAAATAAAATACAATAAATGTATTATGTACATAGTATGTCTAACACCTACTAAATAATTTATATATATATATATATATATATATATATATATATATATATATATATATATATATATATATATAAACAAACATGGTCGTTTATTTAAATTTAAACGAAATACTGCAAAACAAATAGCAACTACATTGGAAATAAATGCAAATTTTAACAGATTATAATATATATATATATATATATATATATATATATATATATATATATATATATATATATATATATATATATATATATATATTCCCTTAACTTATTCATTTTGGTGCACTAATTTCTGACCTTTACCTTGAGTTATTTTAAATTAGATACAAATGTGGCTTTGGTACTAATAGACATGTTTAATATTGCACACTATAGAAAATATCAATTTAAAAACCAACAAGTAATAATGAATATGTTTATTGAATTTCTGACATTAATCTTGACACTCATCCAAATTTTGCCCAAGTAACTTTAAGAAGGTATGCAATTGTTAAATTAAAAAATAAAAATACATTTATTAATGAACATAGTATGTCTAACACTTATTAAAGAAATATAAAAAAAGAAAAATATTACATAAATATAAAAACTAGACAGTAGCAAAATACAAAACTAATAACAAAAAACGAATAAATGCATTAAATATTATGCACTATATATGTATGCATTAAACTATATATATATATAAAACATCTTTATAGGAATAGAAAGATACATTTAGATTCAAATTAAATATAGCAAAATAAACTGCAACTGCATTGAAAAAATACTAATTTCAACTGAATTTATATATATTTTTTGTTTCTCTTTACAAAAATGTTATATAATATTTTTCCCTAACATAATAATTTTGAATGTATGGCTTTAGAACCGACAAAAATAGACAATATTGCACACTATAAATATCAATTTAAAAGGAGATCTATACTCATATTTGTTGGGCACTAAATATGTATGTATGTGTGTGCGCCTTTGTGTGTACTCTTACAAAAATCAAGAACATGTTCATTTACTGTAAAACATTATACAAGCACCTAGTCATGACAACATATCTTTTTAATTCATTGTGACTTATTAAATTCATAAAATTAAGTTAGAACATAATTAACTAAGTTATGCAAGCTGTTTTAAGTCAGTTAAACATAATATAAGTAAATAAGGTTAATTTGATTCAGCTTAAAAATTTAAGGCAAGACATTTTTTACATTGTTGAATTTCTGGCACTCATCTTCAAGTAATCTTTCCAGTAATATTTTGTTAGAAATAGGCTACAGTTGTTAAATAAATAAAATACATCTATTAATGAGCATATTACAAACATATAAAAAAGAAAATACAAACGGCATTATAAAAAAACAAACAAACATATATATATATATATATATATATATATATATATATATATATATATATATATATATATATATATATATATATATATATATATATATATATATATATATATATATATATATATATATATATAGATATAGATATATATATATATATATATATATATATATACACATATATAACTTTTAAAAAGATACATTAAATCTAATATTATTTAAAAATCATATATTAAAACCAGTGTTTAAATAAAAATATGAATTTGTTTAGGCGGGTAACGGGAGTGGTATTTGTCTGTGTTTACGGTACATTTGCTGTTTTGTGTCACTTGTGTGTGCGAGGAGAGGGCCCGTGTGTGAGACAGAGGGGCCAGAGAGCAGTGGAGGCAATTAAACCTCTCTTGACTGTACTGTTGGTTTGAGGGAGTGACTGACAGCTCCATTCATCACGTTCACGGTTTAATCTGTGCTCAGCAGCTGAATTCAATAATGAGCCATTTCGGCGCTGAATGATAAACACTGCTCAAAGTGGCAAAACTGCAATTATGTCATTGCGGCCTCCGTAATGGGATTGCGCACTCAGATAAAAGATTCTAATTTTGTTGTTGTGTATTATGGCAACGGTTCAATGATGAGATGAACACCTGCGGTTCGTGCACCGTGAGGTAAACACAAATAAACCTTTCGCTCAGAGTTGAACAATAATGTACACAATTCATCTTACAAACCTTTCCCTTTATAGGACACTTGTGGATTTAATCTATAGCCTACTTCATGAACATAATGTGCTCAAGTTATAGCTGTAAGAGAGTTCACATGTGTAAAAACGACGAATTGTTGAAGCGATTATGAAAAAAGTATGCTTCAAAATAGTTTTTTTTTCCTGCAATAAAATAGTTAAAGCTTTAAAGAGATTATTGAAATGTGTTTTTATGTCTGCTTAAATATGACGCGTCTCCCTGTGTTCCTCTGGATTTATAATTTAGGTAATAAAACTATTAAATCATCGCACCATTTTAATAGTTATAGATTATAACTTTAGGCTATATTATTAGCTGCTTTTCGCAAATTTAAAATAAATAAATGAACGAGATTTCAAATCAAATCTGACATTATATACCTAGAAAAACAAAGGTCTAAAGACAACGCGGATAAATTGTTTCATTCATATTTCGCAGACCGCTAACGGGCGTTTAAACCACCTCGTGCTCCTACTAGTGTCTGTTTACCAATCAATTGATGTATCGCAGTCCGGAAGTGACGTCACTGTTGTCAGTCAAAGTAAAAGGGAAAAAGAACGCACGTTCTACTCTGGAATTAAATGTAACCATGACGTCAACTTCATTCAAACATTCGAATCACACCCAATAGTTTTCATTTGATCGTTTATTATTATTAAAGGATATTCCCGAGTTGGTCCCACGTAAAATGACCTCCCCCCTCCTCCAGAAGAAATCCTGAAATCCGCTGGATCTTTCGCCAGAGCTTCTGCAGAGCCCATTGCAGATACACACACACTCACGCAGAGACACAAACACACACACTGTGGTCAACGAGTAAATCGACTATATAAGTCAAATAAGGAGGGAGAAAAGGAAAGTTTGCGCTGCTCGGATCCATGTTTGTTGTGTGGAATTATTTATACGTGGTTAAGCAGTGAAGCGCCTCCCAGTGCCTCGGTCACAGACCTTGAAACCCAGCGCATATATGCAGAATGCATTTTGGGTTGAGCGCGATCCTATAGCTGAGGAGGGTCCTTCCACTTGCCCACAGGGGCCCCTCCACCTCAACCTTCCTTCCCTTCTGCATACATCTCCTTCTGCATGGACGCCCGATGCCGGAACATGCTAAAATATTTGGGCAGAAACTCGGTTCCGTCGCTGGAGTGTGTGGCTGGATTCTGATTTAATGTTCTGTTTTTTTGGGAGGGGAATAATATCTGAATTTCTGACAGGAACGAACTTCGCTAGACTATTCATTCCACCTCTCATTTTAGCTCAAGAAAACTAAGTGGACACATAAACATAGTTATAGTGTTAGATGTTTGATCAAGCCACGAGTATGGGCGATGGAATCGCCGAGGACCGAAACCACTGTGGATCCAATTCGTTGTGCCGTGACCGCGGCAGAGAGTCGAAAAGCCGGACGGAAGTGGGGAACCGGTCACCTGTGCAGAGCTCTACCGACACACCGGGGACTTCGGCATCCACACCGACCTCATCCAGCGAGGATGGACACGATAAACTTTTAGGAGTCGATCCCGACTACTGTCGGAGGATTCTGGTCAGAGGTGAGGAGCCAATATTTTTATCATAACTCTGCTGGAACTATTAGCTCTCAATAAAAGGAAATCAGTCACATTTGGTTTCAAACAGTCAAATTAAGTGAAAAGAAATATATTTTTTCAAATTATTCCTTTTTAGATTAATTCAATTTATTTGTATTGTTTTTTTATTTATTTCATTCTTCTGTTGATGATGAAGATGGTGATAATTATTATTATAGTTTATCAAAACTTCTGATATTTATTAACACTGTTTACAGCTGACAATTAATGACAAATGTTGATTTAAAACAAACTGATGCAAAAAAAAGTAGATGTAAGTATTTTAGGTATAAGCTGTCAGACACCAAAACAATATTTTTTTATTTAACTAGTCATTCAAAATACATTCATCATACATGTTATATTATTATACACTAACTCTATTTACAATATTACATAAATAGGCTACAAAGAAAAATTTACACCTGACAAAAATGACAAATGTTGATTTAAAAATCAAAAAAGTAGATGTAAGTTAAGTATTTTAGGTATGAGCTGTCATTAGGACACCTTTTTTTTATTTAATTAGTCATTCATACGAGTCAAACATCATACATGTTATATTATTAAACAATAAATCTATTTACAGTTTTACATAAATAGGCTACAAAGAAAATTACTACACAAAATATAAACGCTTTAGATAATAGTTAAACATTTCTTAAAATACATGAAGGTTATATAGATTATTTTATTTATTCCATACACGATACAGCCTTTAAACATTAGTTATCCCTAAATATCTGTGTTTGAGAGATCTATAACAAATAAAATCTAAAACAATAGCAACGCGCTAAAAATAAAAATGTTAACGTTACGTTTCTTCGAAAGCGTTTGCTTTCATTTGCGCACAATTTCTAAACACATAGCCATTTTTAAATGCATTTGCTTTCATACAATCCAAATTATTTATTGATTTAATTGGACAGATTTTAGAAAGCCATATTTATAAAAGAAATTATTTATAAAACATGTAGTAAATGTTGGAACAAAAAATAAACAGAAAATAAAATGTTTTCTCTCTGCTCTATTTATTTACAACATATTATTGTAAATATGTCTTGTAAAATAATTTTACAATTCATAATTATGTAGCCTACATTTTTCTGTTTAAAAAATAGTCCGAATTTAAAAATAAAAACCCTGTTATTGTATTTATAATACGATATTAACACGCTAATCATACAACACCAAATATAAAAAAATTGCAATGCAATTATATTAATATAGCGAATTGTTTGCACCATGTAACTGTAACGACTATTACATATCTAGTCACACGTTACAATAAGGTTACATTAGTTAATATATTTATACCATGATCTAACAATGAACAAAGCATTTATTTATCACAGCTAATGAGAAATTCAGCATTTACTAATACAATAATAATATTCAAAGCTTGTAAATAATTATTACATTGATAATAAACAAGATCTAACTATTATATTTTAAAAAACTAGCGTTAACACATACTGTAAGAAATGCAGCCTATTGTTTATTGTTCGTGTAGCTAAATAAACACATTAGCAAACATGATCTAATATAATCATATTGTAAATCGTAACCTGTTTTTAAATATTACATTCATTGCTATAATTAGATTGCTAATATCAATAGCACTGCTAATGATATAACCCGGTGCATTTATTTATAGTATATTAGACCTTTTTCTGAAAGGAAAGTATATAAATGCATGATCTATGACAGGTTTCATTTCAATTTACACAAACATCTATATTGATAATACATAGTAATTCATCCACAATTTCAGCCAGCATGACGGCAGTGAATGAACGAGCCTCTGCGCTCTGGAGAGCTGCGTGTAGTTTTGGCGCAGTGTCTCCATAAGCCCACAATCCTCGGTGTCACTATTTGTTTTTAAAGCTGACGATTGAATGCGCCGGAGTCCTCGTGAGAACCAGGGTCACTGAAAGGTCAGCAAGTCTGTGTCATGGGCCCATAGGCTCGTGTTGATTTCAAACAGCGCGCAAACAGCAATTACGCAAAGTTTCTCCATTAACGTTTTTGGGCGTTACATCAACAAAAACCCTTAATCTTAATGTGATATTACAGTTCAACCAAGTGTGTTCCTAAGATACTGAGCTCGGTTGCCAGGCAGACATTCAAATAGGCGGAGCTATAGAATGTCGCTCTAAATATTAAATATCGCACCGCATCATTTTTAGAACACATTCTTATCTCCTAACAATGCGCCTTTGAGGTTTTAAAAAAGTAAAGCTGAGCACAGCTAACACTGGAGTGTGTAATCAGTTGACTCATTCCAATGTGTTTCCTAAAAAGCATCTGTATTTCAAAAAAGTGCACGTGAAAGTTTGTATGTGTTGGACCTTGAAGTCTATAAGTTCTGATTTAGTTTTGCCTGCATGCTAACTAAATGTCTCCAATAGAATGTGATGCTGATGCTTAAGTCAAAATCAAAATGTCTTCAAGTAGCTGTTGGTAGATTTAGTGTCTTTAAAATAAATCACAACGTTTGAAATGTATTATTGTTTGTGTAATATCTCACAAAGATGCGTTTATGTTTGGGGTTGGTAAAAATACGTAATTGAAACTGAATTGAACAATTACTTATTGATAATTATTCATATTATTTATTGAGAACTTTCTCATTGGTTATACCTCAAGAAATCTTCTTTGATTTAATCAGCTAGACAGGTGAACTGCGTCTTTCAGTAAACAAAGACTAAAACGTGGAGATTTAATTGGAAAGTGATGTGGAAATGAATTGTGAAAATCATAATGGTAAATAAAATGTTGCATTGGTTGCCTTGCCAAAATGTATTATCCAAGACATATGGCATAATGCTCTGTTGTGGTGTTGAACATATTGCAGTATTTAGCACAGACTGCACATTATTATCGCACATCATGATTTCTAATGTTGCATCCGAGTGGTGAAATCAATGTTGCATTAATGTTTTGAAAATATTATTTCATATTGATAAAAATAATCTTCATGTGACTCCAGATTAATTTCATATCAAGGTGCTATCGGGGAGGATCACATAAACATGAATGTTATCATTTTAATACTTTTTAATTTATTTGATCCAACAATTAAAGTGAAGTTTAAGTGAAGTGTGAATAAACTTCAAAAAGTCACTAAAAACTACATGCAGCCTCAACAAACGATTCTCGAATATTAGCTAGACTACATATTTCAATTATTAGAGTAAATCTGGTCGTGTTAATGTAATATAAAATAATAATTCAGCGGTTGGTTTTGTCCGCATTTCCGCCCAAAAATATAATACATAAAAAGTTGAGAAATAATAACTCTTTAAATTAGACAATGACTACTCTTGTTCAAGCTACTTATTTAAAATCAGCTGAAACAACAATTCTGGAGATTTTTAAATTGTTTTATGATCAATCAACTTAAATTTGTTATATTAACTTAACAGATTTGTGTTGGGGCAACATGAATGAAATGTGTAAAGTTCTGTGTATTTTGCAGTATTGAAGCCCCTTTTTTGTAATGTACTGGGCTGTCGTAGCGTTGGGTTAAATATGGACAAACCCACACTGTAAAAAATGCTGGGTTCCACACAATTCCTTCATGTTGGCCGAACACAATTTGATTAAATTAACTTAATCGTTTTCACATATTAAAGTTAATTGAACACGAAACAATTGAGTTTTCTCCCCCCAAAAAACTTAAGAATTGTATTGTTTAAATTAATTTTTATATAAAGAGGTTTGAATAAATAGCAAAAGTGCAACCGCTATGTTAAAAAGTGTCATTTGAACTTAATTTAAAAAACAAATAATTAAATAAACACAATAAAGATTGTGTGTTGACCATTTTTAAAGCCAACATTAAGTTAGGACAAGCATTTTTGTATTTGTAACATCACCCACACCCAACACAACGCAAAAAGTTGTCCATTTCAATACAAAAAGTAGATCATTGAACACATGTGTGTCCTGAACAGACGCCAAGGGCACTATTCGGGAGATCGTGCTGCCCAAAGGGCTGGATCTGGACCGGCCGAAGCGCACGCGGACCTCGTTCACGGCGGAGCAGCTGTACCGGCTGGAGCTCGAGTTCCAGCGTTGTCAGTATGTGGTCGGCCGAGAGCGCACGGAGCTCGCCAGACAGCTCAATCTCTCTGAGACACAGGTACAACTCATTCATGTTTTTTACACATGCTGTCAGCCTCGCTCTGAATCACTGCGGATTTTTAGTGAAATATGCACGTTTAGGTACTTTCATAATTTTATTGTTGCATGGATGATGATGATTATTATTATTATTATTATTATTATTATTATATACAATATGATTACAAATATATTTTTTGCATGCTGAAAAAATGATAAATTAGATGTAATTTTGTTGTAAGTTTTTAAGGTAAGTGGTTGCAAATAATTTATATGGGCTAAATTTAAACAAAGTATTTAAATTTAGTAATGTTAAAAACGTAATGTGTTTAAATTTAGCTCATGTAAATTGTTTGCAACCAGTTGCCTTGACTTTTGGTACACTCAATATTTTTTTTCAGTGTTGCATGATTGATAATTATTATTAAATACACAATTACAAATATATGTTATGCAGCTATTAAAAATGGCACTGATTAACGTTGATAATGTCATGCACCAATTTGTTTGTCTTTGTGAAGTGAACTGAATAATGCAATGTTGTGATGAAACTTGAACATGGTTAATTCGTCATTGTGTTTTTATTTTTATGTTTAAATTAGATTAAGTATAATGTGTGTGCTCGTTTGTCGTAACCCATCGCTGGGGGATATATGGACAACATTGATTAATTTTATTTACATTTAATGTCACATTTAACTCAGCAGATGGGTTTGGGTTCGGGTTCATATTTGACCCAATGTTAGTTACAACAACCCAGCTTTTTTAAAAGTTTGTGAAATGCATTTATTGGAAAAGACATAATCGCGTCAGTCCATTTATATTATTACTTTTTGTTATTTAAAAAATCATATTAGTATGTATATTGATCATGATTCAAACAGTGCAACACAAAAAATATATATTACGGGGTAAAAATAAAAATAAATAAACATTTTACGTGACTAAATTAATGAATTAATGACTCAATTAATATTCTCATTAATAATTCCATATGAAAATACAACTAAAATGTTATTTTAAAGAAAGCAATATGAAATTTAAGATTCTGCGATATATATAAACAGTTTTATTAAATATAAGATGAGATCAAATTATTTAAGATAAAACTTGACCATAATAATTAATATAATATAATATAATATAATATAATATAATATAATATAATATAATATTTAGCACATGCTAAAAAATCATTTGGATGCGAAAAAACTCAAATGTTGGGTCAAATATGGACAAACTCAACAATGGGTTATTTTTTTCGATTGGATTTAACTTGCATTTTAAAACCTAAGAATTGGGTTTGTTAATATTTGACGTTGGTTTAAACGACCCAACAATGTATAGGCTTTGTTTCGAGGAAAAATCTAAATATTATAGTTATTATCGAACGAGAAATAACCTATGAACGAATGCATTCTAAGAAATGCTGGGTTATTTAAACGCAAATTGGGTAAAATATAGAGTAACCCAAACATTGGGTTAAATTTGGACTTATTAATTTAAAACAAATAACCCAGCTGTTGGTTTAGTCCATATTACACCCAGAATTGGTTTAAAATGACCCAGCATTTTTTAGAGTGTGGACGCACAAATAATCAAATATTAATTAGCAAAATAAATAAATGAAGTAGCCCATATTGTTTGTCAAAGAAATGCCTTGAACTGCACTAATAAGTGAGAGGGTGTAGCAAACTGGCAAAATGTAACTAATTTATTGACGTCAAATCGAGCGCGAGAGTTACCAATGTCCAAATACTGCATGTCAGCCTCCATTGTTATCAACACAACACTCATAATTAGTATTCGCACAGTGGGCGTTAGTGGGCGGAGCTTTGCTTTATTCAGACGTGAAAAAAGAAAAAGGGGCCCCAATGGACCAGTCATCACTCATGCATTATGAACTGCGTCACTTCAGATTTAACCTAATCTAATGTTGTTGTTGTTGCTGTTGTTTTAAGCTGTCAGAATAAAAAATATTTATATTTATTTCAATGTTTGATTTTGAAAAAATAATAGCATCAGTCTGTTTTTTAAATAGAAATAAACGATTAATAGTCTAATTTTCAGATAAAAATATGCTACTGTTAAATTTGTTACTCTAGGATCCGCCTATTGGCCATATATAATACAACTATAATAGACATCTGTCTTTTTGAGAATATCCTGTATATTTACCTCATAAATTACCTCAATAATCCACAGACGTATCGCCTCAAATCCCAGTTTTCAAAGCGCGCGCAATTTGGTTTAATACTCTATTCTTTTTATAAATAGGTCGTATTTTCAAAGCAATTTCAGTCTGGACGGACCGTGGGACTTAGATAGCCACACAACTGCATATAAAAAGATGATTTAATACGATATAAATAATAAATTGACACAATTTAAATAGTTTGAAATTGTTTTACCACATTGTAGGTGTTTACTAAATCGTTTCGAAAAGATTATTCGCAATTTTTCAAACATTGCCTCTTATATTCCCGTCTATTATAATCCACTGGCATTTTCAATTCATACTCTAAAGTCTATTTCCTAAAATTATGCATGTGCAACCTTTTAGTAAATTGACTTTACCATTACGAAGGTCTGTAAACAATTACCATGTGAATTAAAAGTGAAGATAATATTGTCCGTAAGTGTAAAATGAGTATAGATATCGGGATATATGTGACACTAGGGGCGCTGTGCCGAGATCGTTACTGACGCTGGATTTATTAATAACTGAATTTCAAAAAATTGCCAGGTTATTTCAAACTAAATATGGGTCAAATATAGACAAAAGTTGGGTTAAATGTGGTCTATAAAAATATTCACAATAACTCGGTTTGTTTTGTCCATGTTTGACCAAATGAGTTGGTTTGTTTGTTCAAACCACTTATGTAAAATGAGTTAAAACAACATAATTATTAGTTTATTTTTTATGGGGGACAACTTAATTGTCTTGTGTTGGATCCACTTAAATTTGTACGTTAATTTCTTTATGTTGTCGCAACACAAATTGATTGTGTGAAATTCAGCATTTTTATAGTGCAGTTTTGGGATGAAATAATTGTGTGTAAAATATAGTAAATAAATAAATGACAGCAAGATCTGCAGACACGGCGTTCTGGATATAACAAATAAAATGGACATTTTGCAAGCGCAAGAATGAGTATGCAAAAAAAAAAAAAAAAACTCCTCAAAAATAATTCAGTTTTATTTTCTCAATTATGATTGTTTTTTATTCCTCAAGATTTTATTTTCAAAAAATAAACTCTCTTTTGTTAGTTTGAATAAAACAAAAACAAAAAAAAAAAAACATACATGTTCCACCAAAAAACGCTAAAAAAACGCTTTGTTTGTGGAATGGAAAGATTAAAGGTTCTTAGAACCATCGGTGATAATAGGGAACCTTTATTTATTATTGTTATTTTTGAAGTGCAATTTTGAAACTCTCTATAAGTTAAACACACCTATAATAACACTGCGTGCAGTTTTAATGAGCTCATAAACTTTTATTTTTATTATTATTTATTTTAAATTAAAATAATTTCTTTAAAATGGTTGAAAAACGTAAAGAAAACAGTTAATTAAATACGTATCATGCACCTTTCTTCTTGCATTAATCTTCATGATGAATACAACGTCTGTACAAATATGATGCATCACAACTACAAAGGCTAAATGCAGTTAATCCAATTAAGATCTATAGTCAGCTTTGAACTGTTAATAAAACGAACTTAATTTAAGAATTCTTGTGATCACTATTATTTCTCACTGGATTCACTGAAAGCATGTGAATGAATGCTGAATGTCCGTCTTGGTCTGGCGGACAGTGTTACTAAACGAGTCATTAAAGCGAGTCTGAAGTTCTGCTGAAGCAACATAAAGTCTTTATTAATTAAATGTGATAAATCCAAGTGATGAATGACGACCTAAAATCCACCAGGCGTTCATTTTTCCAGCATGCGACGCTTTTAATACAAATCACAATCTGCTTTTATTAAGATTTACACGAGCTTTAAAAGGGAAGTAAAACAAAACAAACTCTCTGAAATGATTCCAGTTTTGAACAAACGAATGTCTTGCAGTTTTTCACTTTAATGAAGCTGCTTTTAACACTGACATGCATAACACAGACTCTGAGTGCTTATTCATATTCATTTATGCTCATGCAAAATTCCCTTGATCCAGCACTTGTTGGCGCCTAGAAAATATCTGAATTTCAGTTATATTCATCAATCGTCTTAATCAAAACCACCTAATATTTATCTCAACATATAGAGTTTATAGTGATGTATATAAGCAGCATTTCTGGTCTTTAGGTGGATTAAATAATTGCAAAACGAATGCCCATTAATTTCCATATGCTTTGGATTATTGGTAGTTTCTAGATGTTGTTAAACATTCTGATACACACTAGTGATAGGTAACACACTGTTTATAATTATGAAAATATTTCAGGCTATACAGTTTAATCGAACAGCATTAATAACACTAATGATTTATAACATAATAATGGACAAACATATAAAATAGAGCGTGATCAGAAACACCCAAGCATTTAGCGGGAAAACGGGGCAGGGGAAAAAAGCAAGAGACTAACTGCTCCTGTCAGGCGCTCGCAAGAGACTTGTTGCTCCTCATTCGTGAAACATGCTGAAGTGCACCTTCAATTTAGTCACCATAACACGATCAAATCTATATAAACACTTCATGGGAAAGTCATTGAGGTCGTGCCAAAAGCAAAACACGCGCTAGAAACTTCGGTATGCATGTTAAAATTAAGTATTCAATCTTCAATAGTCAAAGTCGATTGAAAATAATCGACGAAGTGTGTCTTTTGTTTTTGCAAGTTTATTTCGTTTTTGTTATGCTCACAACAGTGTACATATTATTTAAGTATATACATACAATATAAAATAAAGGCAAAAATAAATATAATTAACAAATGAAAGTATAATTAATAACACACTGAACTCAATTCGGAAAACTGGACTGACGCAGTTTCAACTTACTGCAACTTCCATGTTAAGC